CAGGCTGGAGTGCAGTGGTTCGATCATAGCTCACAGCAGCCTTAACCTCCCAGGCTCAGTGACCCCCTACCTTAGCCTCCTGACCAGCTGGGACTATAGGCACATGCCACCATACACAAATAATTGTTTTTAATGTTTTTATTTTTGTAGACATAAGGCCTCACTGTGTTGCTCAGGCTGGTCTTGAACTCCTGGGCTCAAGCAATCCTCCCACCTTGACCTCCCAAAGTGAACACAGGTTATATTTGATCAGAATTATTTGTTTCTATGCACATCTCTTGACAGCCTGGGAGCTCCTTGAGGCAGGCAGGGCTCTAGTAAACTTTGAGCCCACTAGTGATTGATTTCAGGCCCAAGCAAATACTTATAAAAATAATGATTATCATACTAAAACATACTGCATTTATTGTATGTCCAGCACTGTTCTAATGTATTGATTCATTTAATTCTTATACCACCCCCAGAAGATATATTACTATTATGAAGTTACGTATAATAGGTGCTCAGCAGACATCTAGAGTCTAGGGCAGCACTTCTCCAACTTTAACATGCACAGGAACCATCGGGAAATCTTGATCTTGTTAAAATACATATCCTGGCTGGGAGTGGTGGTTCACGCCTATAATCCCAGCACTTTGGGAGGCCAAGGCAGGAGGATTGCCTGAGCCCAGGCAATCCTTTAAATGAAGAGACCCCCTAAACAGGCTTTATGTGAGCAACATGGCTGTTTATTCACCTGGGTGTGGGCAGGCTGAGTTTGAAAAGAGAGTCAGCGGAGGGAGGCGGGATAGGAGTTGGTTTTATAGGTTTGGGGTAGGTGGTGGAAAGTTACAGAAGTTACAGTTCAGGGTGGTTTTTGTAAACTGGTAGGGGGTTGTAGGGTCTGGAGTCACAAGGATGACCTATCAGTGAGTAAGGTCGGTTACAAAGTCCAGCTGCCTTATCAGTTGAGGCGGGAATAAGGAATAATAGAAGAATGTCTCAAAGTTAATTAGATACCGCAGGGATTGGTTGTTCTTCTCCTTTTGTAGTTTTCTAGTTACGTTAGACTTTCTAGTTCCAGGGACGCATCTGGAAGTGTACGTGAAGGTCACAGAGGTTACCATGCAGTCCATGGCATAGTCAGTCAGCCTAAAACACCTTATACCTACGAGTTCAAAACCAGCCTGGGCAACATAGTGAGACCTTGTCTCTACAGAAAGGATGACTAATTTTTAATTTTTTGTAAAGACAGGATCTCACTGTGTTACCCAGCCTGGTTTATTAGCTAGACGTGGAGGCACGCACCTGTGGTCCCAGCTACTCTGGAGGCTTAGGTGGGAGAATTGCCTGAGCCTAGGAGGTAGAGGCTGTGATTGCCCCACTGCACTCCAGCCTGAGTGACAGAGTGAGACCCTGTCTCAAAACACCCCCTCCTGCAAATAACACACTGTGACTCTGCAGGCCTGGCTGGAGTCTACTTTCAACAGGCTTTCAGGTGATGTTGTAGTCAGCGGACAGTATAACACATCTAGATCATTGAACATTTTCTCAAATAGAAAACATCCAGGCCGGGCATGGTGGCTCATGCCTGTAATCGCAGTACTTCCAAAGGCAGAGGCGGGCAGATCACCTGAGGTCAGGAGTTCAAAACCAGCCTGGCCAACATGGCGAAACCACATCTCTACTAAAAATACAAAAATTAGCCAGGTGTGGTGGTGCGTGCCTGTAATCCCAGCTACTCAGGAGGCTGAGACAGGAGAATCGCTTGAACCTGGGAGGTGGAGTTTGCAGTGAACCAAGATCATGCCATTGCACTCCAGCCTGGGCAACAGAATGAGACTCTGTCTCAAAATAATAATAATAATAATAAAAAAGAGAGAAATGAAAAGAGCCAGTCCCCTGTGGGACAGAGGTAGGGGTGGGAAGCACACTGGAAAAAATAACTCACCTCTTACTTTGGGAGTAAGGGGATCACAGATCCGCAAAATTGACATTCTTGGGGGAACAGGGAAGTCAGTCCACCAAAGGCAGCTTTTCAAGTCTCATTAGAACAGCCCGTTCTCACAGTCTCCAGGAAATAAATAGGGCACACATTTTCCAATGTTAGGAACAGAGCTTTGGACTGGGGCCACATGTCTGGGCTTAACAGGGTGCCCGGCCACAGCTGCCAAATCACCTGGAGTCTCCCATCCAGGGAGGGTTAGGAGACCTTCCTATGGCAGCACCGGTACAGGTGGAGCTGAGGCCAGCTCCCCTAGAGGGTGGATGGCTCCCCAAGGGCAGTGGAAGCGGGGGGTGTGCAGATGAAATGTGTCCTTCGAGTCAGACAGGGCTGGCTTCAAATGCAGCTTTGCCACTTACTAGCAGTATAACCAGAGGCAAGTTACTCCCCCTGGCACTTTTGTTTTCTCGCTGCAGCCCAGAAATAATACCAACCATACGGGTTTGGCTAGGGAATGGAAACCCCTGGAGAATTTCAGACAGAACTACTTTAATGCAGGGAATTGGTTACATGGATGTTGGTGGAGCTTGGAGGCAAAGTGGAGGAGGGCAAGGCAATCCAGAGAGCAGCAGGAAGACAACTGTGAGTGGGGAGGATGCTGGGAGGAGGTGGTGGTACTGAAGCCCAGGGGTCACGTCGCCAGGTGGGGGCTGGACCCACGGGGGGCTGATCCAGTGGCCACACACAGCTCTTGCCAGGGTGCTATCTGAGGCAGAGAGGGAGGAGGAGAAATAGCCCAGCTTCTCCCTATCCCTCACCCTCCAATCTCCCACCACTGCCTCCATTGGCTGGACCCACCCAGCAGGAAGCTGGGAAGCACAGCTGGCAGGGGAAGTGGCTGAGGGCCAGTAGGCTGAGGACCTGCACAAGGGCTCAAGGCCACAGTAGGAAGGCTTGTGTAAGGCGTCCGCAGCATGTTGCTTGGCACATCGACAAAGCAGGTGCCCCTTCCTGTGCCCTGGACACAGCCAGCCTCCTGTATTAACCGTGTCTTCTGTGATGATGTTTTGGCCATCGGCGGTTTCTCTCTCAGCATCACTGTGTGTTGGAAACTTCAGGCTCTGTAACTCAACTGACTTCTTTTCCCCTGGCCTTTTGGGACCCTGGGATGTGTAGGGGTGGGTTCTTCCAACCAAAGGACCACCAGCGGCCAGGGGAAGTGGCTGAGGCTGAATGCAGGGACATTGGCAAAGGTGAGGGCCTGAACAGGCCTGACGGTGGTGTTCGTTTGTTCATTCATTCATTCATTCATTCATTCATCTCTTATCAATCAGCTATTGATCTAGAACCACACTAAATGCTAGGACTGCAGATGGTGTCCCAGTCTTGTGGATAAGACACGCCTGTATATTAACATTTCAGTCAGGGCTATTTTGGTTGTAAGAAATAGAAACCCATTCGGAAAATGCAAGTGAGAAGGAGTTTTATGGAAAGGGATTGGTGAATCTGATGAAGTTAATTGAGGAAGTGCAGGTAGACCTCCCATGAACTGGCCTCATCTCTGCCTCTCTGAGCTCCAAGCACCCCTGCAAACCAGATCACATGTTGTTTCTGCTCCCCTAACTTCTGGGTGTCTTTTGACACCCCAGGGTATCAACTGGCTCAGATCACGATTCCTTGAGACTATATAAGTCCAGTGCATTCTTACCAATTCACTAAAATTGGTGGACTCTTAGGTTAAATTATTGAGAGAACTTAACCTCTCAGCTCACTTGAGTCAGACTTCCTGTCCCATCAGGGTGGCCAGGCCAGGTAGTGGGCACAGGTGAAGGGTCTTACAGCTTGCCCTTTAGAGGAGCAGGCTCTGAGAAGAGAGCTGTGGGTAGGGCAGGCAATGAAACATGTTTCCTGCTGGGAGTAATTGCAAATCTGGCCTAAGGGGAAAATGGATTCAAAAAGGCATTTAAAATAGTAACAGTGGTCATTTATCAAGACATTATGTGTCAAACACTGTATAAAGTGCTTTTTGTACATTTACCTCTTTTAACCCTGAGCAGTCATTTTTACTATCCCCATTCGCCCGTTTTACAGATGAGGAAACTGAGTTGTAGGAGGTTAGATAAGGTTGCCTGGGGTCAGTCAGTTGGTGCAGGCAGCAGCAGCAGGGGCAAAATTGTTACTTTGGCAGCACATATACCAAGCTTGGAACAATACAGAGAAGCTTAGCATGGCCCTGCACAAGGATGACACACAAATTTGTGAAGCATTCCATATATTTCTAAAATTTTCTTAAAAAAATTCTTGGCCAGGCATGGTGGCTTACACCTGTAATCCCAGCACTTTGGGAGGCGGCTGGATCATGAGGTCAGGAGTTCGAGACCAGCATGGCCCACATAGTGAAACCCTGTCTCTGCTAAAAATACATAAAAACTAGCCAGGTGTGGGTGTGCCTGTAATTCTAGCTACTTGGGAGGCTGAGGCATTATAATTGCTTGAATCTGGGAGGCCGAAGTGGCAATAAGCCACTGCACTCCAGCCTGGGTGACAGAACAAGATTCCCGTCTCGAAAAAAAAAAAAAAATTCTTGTCTCTGAGCCACGTGCCTGAGTTCTGTGCTTGGCAGCTTTCATGGAGAGCAGAAGCCGGCGGTCGGGCCATTTTCTCCCCCACAAGCTCCAGGAATGCTCTCCAGAGAGACATGTTCCTTTCCTGTGGCTGCAGAGATCACTGGCCGCCTTTGGCAGGACCTCTCTCTCCCTTTCCCTCCTTTTGTTCAAGGATTCCAGGTGCATTGACTTGGGGGACTGATGTCCCCCATTTGATGGCTTGCTGTCACCACCCATCTGGACGCGAATCCTCTTTTGAGATTATCGTGGTTGTGCCTTTCTCCTTTCTCCGGGTCCTAATCCGAGTCTCCTCCCCCATAGGCATCCGCTCCAGGGTAAACAACACAGGTTCTTCCAATTTCCCTTGTGCGCTGTTCATTCGTACGTGTCATGTTTGGAAAGTGTATGTGTTAAGGGTTTGTTTTTCAGGGTGGATGTTTTTAATTTTTTAAGGTCATAAATAACACCATTTCTTTCTTCTTTTACTTTTCAGCAAACTTTATATTTTAGAATAGAATTGGAATTACAGAGATGTTGTGAATACACTGCAGAGAGTTCCTAGATGCCTCATTCTCACTTCTGCCTGTTATTAACATATAATAGGGTACATTTGTCACAACTGATGAACCGATATTGATATATTATTAGTAACTCATCTATACTTTTTCAGATTCCTTTAGTTTAGTTTTTTTATTGTTCTCTGAGACAGGGTCTCACTCTGTCACCCAGGCTGGGGTGCAGTGGCGCAGTCATGTTTCAGCTGCAGCCTCTACCTCTCCAGACTCAGGTGATTCTCCCACTTCAGCCTCTCGAGTAGATGAGACTGCAGATTTGAGGCACCGTGAATGGCTAATTTTTTTTTTTTTTGGTGGAGATGGGGTTTTGCCATGTTGGCCAGGCTAGCCTAGAACTCCTGGGTTCAGGAGATCTGCCACCTGCCTCAGCCTCCCCAAGTGCTGGGATTACAGGTACTGAGCCAGGCTGGCTGGCCTTATTTCCTTCATTTTTACCTGGCATCCTTGTCCTGTTCTAGGATCTCATCCAGGAGACATTACATTTACTCCTGAGGCTCCTCTGCTGGGACAGTTCCTCAGGCTTTCCTTGGTTTTTGATGATCTTGACAGTTTTGAGGAGTACTGGTTAGGTGTTTTGTAGAATGTTTCTCAGCTGGGATTTGGCTGGTGATTCTTTCATGGTTAGACTGGGATGATGGGTTTGTGAAAGGGAGACCACAGAGGTGTACCGCTGTTTTCATGACATCACATCGAGGCCTCCCTTGGCTGGTGGTTACATCACTCCTGTCTCTGTCTGTGTGGTCACACCCCTCCTCTTCTCCCTGTCAAATCACCCCTATCTCTCTTCTAAGGATACTTGCATTGGATTTAGGGGCTACCCCGGTAATTCAGGATGATCTCATCTCAAGGTCTTTAACTCAATCTTCTACAAAGACCCTTTTTTTTCCAAATGAGATCACATTGACAGGTTCCAGGAATTTGGATGTAGACGTCCGTTTTTTTTGAGACAGTGTCTCACTATGTTACCCATGCTGGAGTGCAGTGGTGCCATTTTGGCTCACTGTGGCCTTTGCCTCTTGGGTTCAAATGATTTTCATGCCTCAGCCTTCAGAGTAGCTGGGATTACAGGTGTGTGCCACCATGCCTGACTAATTTTTGTATTTTTAGTAGAGACAGGGTTTTACCACGTTGGCCAGGCTGGTCTCAAATTCCAGGTCTCAAGCGATCTGCCCACCTTGGCCTCCCAAAGTGCTAAGATTACAGGCGTGAGCTACCACACCTGGCCTAGACCTACCTTTTTGAGGGCCACCATTCAACCCACTATATTCACATGTCAATTTTATCTTTCATGGATTGAGCTTTTGGTGTATCTTAAAAGTCATTACTAAACCTAAGGTCATGCATGTTTTCTCCTAGGTTTTCTTCTAAAAGTTTTATACTTTGGCATTTTACATTTAGATTCGTGATCCATTTTGAGTACATTTTTGTGTAAGGCATTAGGTCTGTGTCTAGGTTCTTTTTTTTTTTTTTTTTTTCATTTTTTTTTTTTTTTTTTTTTTTTTTTTTTTTTTTTTTTTTTTTTTTTTTTTTTTTATTTTTTTTTTTTCATGCAAAGGATGGATAGAGGTTCTTTTTTTTCACATATAGATGTTCAGTTTGTTCCAGGGCCTTTTTTGTGAAAAGACGATTCTCTCTTCATTGAATTGCCTTTGTACCTTTGTAAAAAAAAAAATTAGTTGAATACAGTTGGCCTATTATTTGTGTCCTCTTCTATTCCATGGATTTATGTTTTTATTCTTTCACCAATATTGTCCAATCTTGATTGTTGTAGTCTTATAGTGAGTCTTAAATTTTGTAATGTGAGTCCTTTGTTCTTCAGTTTTGTGTTGGCTATTCTAGGTTCTTTGCCTTTCTATATAGATTTGAGTCAGTTTGTTGATACCTACAAAATAGCTTGCGGAGCTTTTGATTGGGAATCTGTATCCAGTTGGGAGGAATTGACATTTTACCAATATTGAGTCCTCCAATCTATAAACATTCTGATCCAATCTTCATTTATTTTTTATTTTTAATTTTTGAGACAGAGTCCCACTCTGTTGCCCAGGATGGAATGCAGTGCCACAATCTTACTGCAACCTCTGCCTCCTGGGTTCAAACGATTCTCCTGCCTCAGCCTCCCGAGTAGCTGGGATTACAGGCATGTACCACCATGCCCAGCTAATTTTTGTGTTTTTAGTAGAGATGGGTTTCTCCATGTTGGCCAGCTGGTCTCAAACTCTTGACCTCATGTGATCTCCCACCTTGGCCTCCCAAAGTGCTTGGATTACAGGTGTAAACCACCGTGCCTGGCCACTTTTGCTTTCCTTACATAAATCCAAGTTTCTGACTTATACAGTCTTCCTTCTGCCTGAACAACAACTTTTTTTGAGATGAAGTCTCACCCAGGCTGGAGTGCAGTGGCACATTCTCAACTCACTGTAACCTCCGCCTCCTGGGTTCAAGTGATTCTCCTACCTCAGCCTCCCGAATAGCTGGGACTACAGGAGCATGCCACCATGCCTGACTAATTTTTGTATTTTTAGTAGAGACAGGGTTTCACCGTGTTGGCCAGGCTGGTCTGGAACTTCTGGCCTCAGGTGATCTGCCTGCCCTAGCCTCCCAAAGTGCTGGGATTACAGGCGTGAGCCACCATGCCTAGCCAATACCTTCTTTTAACATTTCTTGCAGGCCAGATTGTGGGCAATGGATTCCGTCAATTTTTGTTTGAGAAAAGTCTTTATTTCTCCTTCACTTTTGAAGGATGAATTTGCTAGATATATATAAAATTCTAGGTCGGTGGGTTTCTGTATTTTCAATCTCTCACTTTCAGCTTTTGTGACACTGCTGGCGTTCATTCACTTTAAAGGTTTCTCCTCTTCTTTTTTCCATAGGTTTATGTCAAAAAGTCTGCTGTAACTCTTAACTTTGTTCTTCTACGAGTTTGGTATTTCCTACATCCATCCGTCTCCAGCTTCTTTTAAGATTTTTTCTTTGTCTTTGGTTTTCTGTAGTTTATTTATTCATTTATTTTTTGAGGAGCATGGCTTGGAGAGACAAGCAGCAGTTCTTTTGCACAAAATTTTATTTTATTTCAATAGTTTTTGGGGAACAAGTGGTTTTTGGTACCATGGACCAGTTCTTTAGTGGTGATTTCTGAGATTTTGGGGCACTCATCACCCAAGCAGTGTACACTGTACCCAGTGTGTAGTCTTTTATCCCTTACCCCTCCCGCACCCTTTCCCCTGAGTCCCCAAAGTTCATTATATCATTCTTATGCTTTTGCATCTTCATAGCTTAGCTTTCACTTTTAAGTGATAATGTATGATGTTTGCTTTTCCATTCCTGGGTTATTTCACTTAGAATAATGGTCTTCAGTTACATCCAGGTTGCTGTGAATGTCATTATTTTGTTCTTTTTTATGCCTGAGTAGTATTCCATGGGAGATATATGTGTGTGTCTATATATATATATATA